TTGATTGCATCATATAATAATTGCTGTTAATATTATTCATCGTCTGTTTTATTACGTCTTAAATTGATTTTCCGTTCTGCTGGTTCGTCTGGTCAGAGGAGAACTGGCCCCCCGACTGAGCCTGGTTTCTCCCAAGGTTTTTTCTCCATTCTGTCACCGATGGAGTTTTGGTTCCTTGCCGCTGTCGCCTCTGGCTTGCTTAGTTGGGGACACTTCATTTCCAGCGATATCGTTGACATGATTGCAAAGATATTATTTAAACTGAGCTGGATGTTGACATCACTGAATTCAATGATGAACTGTCTTTAACTGAAAAATGAGTGTTTACTATTGTCACTTTGCATTATTGACACTATTTTCCTAATTAATGCTGTTCAGTTGCTTTGTCACAATCTGTATTGTTAAAAGCGCTATATAAATAAAGGTGACTTGACCACCAGGGTGGAGCAGATGACCACCACAGCAGAGCAGATGGGACCGAAGACCACCAGGGCAGATCTGGTGGAACTGCAGTAGAGCACAGAGAGGTCCACAGTGGCCTCTATGGCCATAACAGACAGGCAGACAATTCAGAGACAGCATCTTTGGCCATGACAGGCAAGCAAAGAGCTCAGAGATGGCCTCCTTGGCCATGACAGAGCAGACAAGAGATTCAAGGACGACCTCTTTGGCTGGGACCGGACAGGTGAAGAGCTCAGAGACGGCCTCCTTGGCCGTTAAAGACACATCTCTTTGGTCAAGCATTCAAATAATGCATCTCATAATCGTGTACTGCAGTTATATCTGATCAAATGCACATTATTATTCTTTAGCTTGGGTTAAACAAATAAGTTTTGCTTGGTTGGAACAGCAGCTACGCTAATTATGTCTCTATTTGTTTCTGCTGGGATTGACATCCCGTGGTAACTAGGATTTACACAAGCTTCAGTCTGGATCCAGAACACCTGAGAAGAGATGATGCCAACCCCTCAGAGGACCTCAGATGATGCCAACCACGAAACAACATACAGAACTACCAAATTTTGCTATAAGTTTGATTGCATCATATAATAATTGCTGTTAATGGTGTTCATCATCTGTTCGATTAAGTCTTTAATTGATTTTTCCATACATTTCTGCCATATGTAACTGACAATCACCACTGATAAGCTACCACTAAATATTGTAGAAACTTAATTTGCTGTGAAGTTGCTTTGCAACGATTTGTATCGTGAAAAGCGCTATACAAATAAACTTGAATTGAATAATGGAATTCTTAGAATTAAGAGGAAAATGTATCCGTTGACATTCTCAACCAATAAGCATTAATCTGTGTCGTCAGTCAGTCGTTTCCCATCATGCTTTTGGTCAGCGCAGTCGGTGGAGAGCAACTGCGCTCGACTGCACAATCCGACACAGCCGCCTCGCCATCGCGAGAATTTTTTGGCACACGTCAGCATGACATCAGAGCAAGTCGGACGTAACTCGGACACTTTTCTAACCGGCATGCATCTCGCGGTGATCACCGGTGATCGGTTCTGCGCAGATTTTGCTAATCTCAAACCAGCCTCCTGTTTTCTCTTGTTTGGTGGGTGTGCCAAAAATGTCAGCCCAATCAGCAGCAACATGTGTATAAACCATGCGGTATGAAAGAGACAGCTCGCACAATGTAATTAACTCCAAAATAAATTCACAAGCGCAAGTATATTGTTTGCACGTTTATTTACATTAAAGGCAAAATAACTGAAATAAGCGCAGAACAAACTTGACCAAAATCACCTGTGTTCAGACAAAAAACACCGGGATTGAACAGCGTGGAGGCGAGTAAATAATGACTGATTTTAAAGGGATAGTTCACCCAAAAATTATAATTGGCCCATAAATTACTCACCCTCAAGTCATCCTAGGTGTATATGACTTTCTTCTTTCAGATGAATCCAGTCAGACTTGTATTAAAAATTGTCTTTGATCTTTCAAGCTGTTTAATGCCACTCAGCGGGTGTTGCATGAATCAGACCAAAAGCAGTTAAATAAAATGCGCCCATCCATAAAAAAAAGTGTCTCACATGGCGCAGTGAAGAAAAGTCCTTCTGTAGTGAATCGATGCGTTTTTGTAAGAAAAATATCCATATTCAAAGCGTAATAATCACTTTAATGTAGCTTGCGCTCACTGTTGTACACGGAAGCAGCTCTGGGCGGATGATGCATGGATGATGCCGCTCAGAAGTGAGGAATGCGGAAGCGCAGGGGAGAGATCAAAACAAAACAATGGTCACTAATTAGAAGTACAAAATGAGGATTTGTAAAGAAGAATGTAAGAGAATTTCGATATAAGCCAAGAGGAGACTGGTTTTCCTTTGCTAAAGTAAGGAAATTTTGCTTCCTTTGCTCCTGATAACAAACGTTGGTTTTCACGAGACTCACCGGCGCAACGCCAACCTTATACATCATCCGCCTGGAACTGCTTCCGTGTACAACTGTTGGCGCAAGCTACATTTAAAGTGATTATGTTTTGAATATGGATATTTTTCTTACAAAAATGCATCGATTTGCTACAGAAGCCTTCTTCGCCTTTGTTCACCCCCGGAGCCGTGTGAGACACTTTTTTTTTTATGGATGAGCACTTTTTTATTTAACTTCTTTTGGACTGATGCATGCAACACCTGCTGAGTGGCATTAAACGGCTTGAAAGATCAAAGACAATTTTGAATATAACTCAGACTGGATTCGTATGAAAGAAGAAAGTCATATACACCTAGGATGACTTGAGGGTGAGTAATTTATGGGCTAATTTTCATTTTTGAGTGAACTAACCCTTTAAAACCCCCAAACAGAAATTGTATGAAATATATGTATGCATTTATATTATAGTAGTACCTTGAAGAAATAAACTTTAAGAAATAAGCAACTCTATTGAGTGTTTGTGCTTGAGACATTAACATTTCTGCCTTTGGCAGACACTTTTATCCAAATCAACTCACAGTGCATTTATTACTGGGACCCCCAATCCCACTGGAGCAACCTGGAGAAAAGAGCCTTGCTGATTTGGAACAGCTGTGTTGAGATGGCAGTAGGATATGGGTTCACCTCCTGTAAATATGTGATTATTAGAACAATACGTTTGAATAAAGCTTTGTTTCATGTGTTGTTGACTTGCATTTATTTTTTTGTTTTGGTTACTTTTATTCATTCTTTTACACATTTATTCATGTTTCCTGTTGATGCTAGTAAATAAACTATAATTATTTCATTAATTTATGCGTTAATTCAATACTTGACTGAATATTGAGATGTATTCACCTTGGCAGCATTTGTCTTGTGTATATTCATGCATAGCTATGGCATATGACAAAACAAATGACGTTTTGCTTGTTTTACTAAAACATTTTCAGAAAAAAAAAGTAATATAATTCATTATTGGTCAGCATTTATCATTATTATTGTTCACAAATGTTGGGGTGGGCTAGCAATGCATTCTGGGGTAATCTTAATTTTTTAGTAATACCTACATTTTTGAGTATAAAATCAACAGCCTTCTCCAAAGGCGAGATCTTCAAGCAGCTGCCTGACGTCTCCTTTGTGCAAACATTGCAAACACTGAGGAAAACTGTATAAGGTAGGGTTGTCGAGTTAGTGATGCTATGAGGTGATAATAGTGCACCTCTTGCTCATATCTTTTTATTATTATTTATTGCAGAACTTATAATTACATACAAGATGATGAAAGATGGTTGTATTTCTAACAATGAACAATCATAATGACAAAAAACAGAAAACATATCATGGAGTTGCGTACATCATAGTATGAGATTATTTACACAGGAAAAAAACGCAATGACAAGGTTAAATATCTTTGAATAATTTTTCATAATGTATATATTAAAAAAATCATGAGGGATGGAGCAAGAGTTAAATTCATCAAGAAAAATAAGAAAATATAAAGGAGTTTTAAGCCACTTTTGCTTGTGGATGAAAAATTAGCACATAAAGAAATTAGCAGCATATTCAAGAGAGACCAATTTTTCATCATAAAAATAATACCTAAAACTGTGGGTCACATTAGTAGGGTTAAAAATATAAGAACTTCAATCAACCCAAAATGTATTGGATATACTACAATCACAAAATTAATGGGCAGCTGTTTCTTCAACAAGACTACAAAATGAGCAAATTTCATCAATATGGTGATATAAGTATATAAGTGAGATTATAATGTCAACATGGCAGATAATGTCTGGATCGCATTCATACTTCACACATTCAGGCTATAGAGTACGTACTCGGTGTGAGACCAACGTTTAAGTAGAGATGTTTAGATAAAGGGCTTTGTGTAACTAATACAGTTTTTCTCGATTGCTAACACACAATTCATGAAACAATTCACCATTCATCTCACAACAATAAACACAATTTCAAAACTACACACCAACTTGTACAAATCTCAATCTTCCAGGGCAAAATCAAATATTTCAGTCAAAAACACATTATCATTGGTCAGAATCAAACTTTGACTTTAGATGATACACAAACCTGACAAATACACAAACTACTTCACTGCCTAGAGAACACTAGTGAGATCCATTCAAAACACTTACAAAAACCTCCTTTTGGAAATCTGGAATAATTTTGCAGGTCACCGTCTATTACATAAATAGAAGGGTGCAGATACAGTGAAATTCAGCAATGAGCTTTAAGAAAAGTTCATTTTCATTACAATACTGTAAAGAGATCTTGCAGTAGATGAAAAGCACTGGACTGGAAAAGTTCAAATACCAAATAATTGAATATGAATGCACAATACAATACTGTCACTTACTGTACAGTAAAAAATACAAATAATTAAACTGTGCCAAATTGCATTATAGTATTAAACTAATATTGCCATATTAGTGTTCTAACAAAAGACTTTCTCTACCTCCCATGGGCAGTCATCTCTCAGTTCTGCAAAAATGCAGTGCGTGTAAGAAGTACTTGACTACAAATCTATATCTATGTGCTATAGTATTTACAATATATATATATCATATTTCACCTGCAACAACAATGTGAATTTCCGAGTTCTCCTCATGAAAGAGCCACGGCTGGCAGATCAACATGCTAATTACTATCATCTTTAACAGTTGAATCACTTGAGTTTTGTCTTGTTTTTCTCTGTTATTGAAAACCAGGTATCTGTCTCCACAATCTCTGATCAGTTTCTTCAGTTCTGCAGACTTACTTTTCTTCACATAATCCTCTATAGATTCATCCTCAAGATCGTCTCCTCTAGTGAACAGAACGATGCTGAACTGAGCAGCTTTATGACCAAAGATATTTATCAGATCTACAGTGTCTGTTTCTTCCTTGGTTAATCTTAACAAACTCAACACAATGACAAACACATGAGGTCCAGGTGACGACATTGAAACACATTTCATTATTTCATCCACCGCTAGTTCATTTGAGATTGTCGTGTCAAAGAGTCCTGGAGTATCAACAACAGCTACTGATCGACCATCAACTTCACCAACTCCCTTCATGCAAACAGTCGTCACTGAATCTGTGCTCAATCGGCTCTGAAACTCCTTTCTACCCAGAATAGTGTTTCCTGTGGCGCTCTTTCCACTTCCAGTTCTCCCAATCAACACAATCCTCAGTTGCTCCAGATCATCTGCTTCACCTTCAGCACCTGAAAATCATGATGGTACAAAATAAATAAATAAAACACAAAAAGACTGAAAAGAAGTGTAGATGTTTACAAATGATTATACTGGACTGCAGAAGTTGCAATTGGTTAATTTATCAAATAACACCAGCATTTCAATTACTTGTTCCTCTACTTTGCACAATGACATTCATACTCTGCAAGCCTAGTGTAGAATTTTAAGGCATCATACATGCTTCTGATGCAAAGGCGATACTAAAAAGTAGGAATCTTAGTTACAGTTCCTTATTACACAACTCATTCTTGGCCAGATTCTAAGGCATTCACATATAGACTTAAAATGTCTAAAAGGTACAGCAAATTAAGCGATGAAGGTAAATGGTCATGAAGAACTGGGCCCGTATTTATCAAGCCTCTGAAAATTACTCTCAAGAACGCTGCTAAGAATTGACTTAAGTATAAAAAAATTCTTGGCTCAAAGCTGTGCTTAAAAGTTAGCTATCATGCATCTCAGTCGTAATTTAAGCGAAGTGTAGGACTTAATCTTAAGTGTCAGTCTTAGAGTTGATTCACGACACTTTGCTGTGCCACAAATGGGGATTTTGGATGACGAAATACGCATGGACCAATCACTGAATAGATTTCCTTATTTAAGAATATTCTCAGATAAATTCACATTGAATGGTTAAATTCCTAATAGGAGTTTATATTCAACACACATTTGACAATAAAGCGTTTTCTAGAGAATACATTATGGTAAGGAAACGAATCGTCATCACAACCTTAATTTAGGGTTGTGCCGGTAGACGATAGTATGGTGTATCGACGATAGTCAGAGATATCGCCTGTTGCTGATTTCTTTGATGACAGCAAGACGATTATTATTATTATTATTATCCGTCAAAAATATAGGCACCTATCTTTAGTGATGCAGCGCGGAGAGCCGCTTCAGAATTTGGTGAGTAGCCGTGATCAGCTCCGGTGGCCGTGTCAGAGCCGTAACATACCCCAGACGTGTGCAGTGTAAATAAGGGGTAAGAGATTTATTCATGTTACAGTGTAGGTAGCTTCACTGATTATAACGGGAGTGTTTTTAAAGAGCATAATACTCGCGCTCGACTAAAGTGAGTTATGATGTTCTTTGGTAATGTAAATATTCTTTGCTCGTTTCTGTTTGAATAACTGAGGAAATACAAATGTTTTCAAGACCGTTCTTCCTCTCCTGAAAGATTCGCGCACATCTCTGTCTCCTCAGCACCATCACAAACCCCTACTGCCAACTCCTAACCACTTGAGAGACCTCTCGAGCTGTCTTAAATAACTGGGAGAGTAAGAAGTAAATTTAATGAATTCTCAGCACTTAAGACTAAAATGGCACTTTGAGAAGCTTGATAAATACGGGCCCTGAATTTAAACATGCCACTTAAAGGGCACTTATTATTTTCCCCCTTTTTACAAGATGTAATGTTAATCTTATGGCTCTCCTGAATGTGCCTGTGAATTTTCAGCTCAAAATACCATACAGATTGTTTATTATAACGTGTTGAAAAGTGACATTTTTGGGGCGGGTCTAAAAAGTGCTGTTTCAGGGGTGTTCCTTTACATGAAAATGCTGCAGCTGCAACTTCCCGCCCAACTGCAGAAGGGGGCAGAGCCTAGACCTCTCTGCTTTGCGTATGGCAATAAACAGAGAGGAGAAGCAACATGTGCGAGAGTGAGAGGACCGGTATTCAGCCGTACATGTACAAACCGGACTCAGATTCAGAACATGGACATTGAGTGTGCATTAAGGGCACTGCGCTTCGGCTATTTTAAGACTTGGGACAGTCTTGCACACTTACTTGCTGTCGGGCACACATGCTCTCAATTGGCCAAGACTGCAAGTGCGGGTATTTGGACAAGGCACTGGTCTTGGGAGTCTCTACTAATTGGCTAATGAGTTTATTCAGGTGCATTTGATTAGGAAGAGTTTTAAAAAAATTTAGTGTTGGTGTGCCTCAAGGAACAGGGCTGGACAACACTGATTCAGATTTGCAAGACTGAACTTCATGATGGAAATCGTATAAAAAACATTTTATTTTAAAAGAATATTATCCACTCACCTTCTGATTGAATCTTCTGCTTTAACTCTTCATTTTCATTCTCCATTCTCTTCAGTTCTTCTTTATATTTCTCCTCTGCTTCACCTCTGACTCTGTTCTCCTGAGCTTTCATATACATCTGTAGTGAATACGGTTCAGTCTTCATGTTCTCTATATATTCCAGTAGTTCTGGAATCTGTCTGGAGTTTTCAGGTTCATTTAACCCCATCACTCTGTACTGACCTCCACAGAGACTGATTAACCTCTGAGATTCTGGTCTGGATTTGACTAAATCTGTCACTAGAGTTCCAACAGTGAGATCTGTGGTGAAAAGCAGCATGAAGTGCTCTCTGGAGTTGAATATCTTCTGGATCTCCTCCATTTCTGCTTTGTCTTCATCAGTCAGTGGAGCATCAGGAACAATGAGGAGGAAGACATGAACTCCAGGATGACAGAGAGACACACAGTTGAGAGTCTGATGCATCACGTCCTCCTCTGAGAGATGGATCAGAGCTGGAAGCTTCACCAGACTCATCTGATGACCATGAATCTTCTCCTCCTCCATCACACACTCTGAGCTGAACGTCTGATGTGACATGGAAAGTGTTTTTTCCCCCATGAAACATTCCAATACAGAGGCTTTCAGAGCAGCATCACTTCCACACAACACCAGGTTCAGGTCTGGTTTTGTAGATGCCTGTATTGTCACTGAAAAACATGAGGAAGAGAAAGAGGGATAAGCAAACTGCCTTTTAATAGAAACCACAGAACATTTGACTTCCTAAAGGTTTTTAGGCCTAATGTCAGAATAAAACAGTAATAATGTTCAAAAATATTTTTTTACTATATCAGTCCTAATTACTATTAGGTTATTAGAAAAATAGGGTGACCAAATAGCCTCATTTTCTGGGGCCAGTCCTGTTTTTTGGTGTCCTGTCCCTGACTGGAGCTGTCTGCTGAAATGTTCCCAGGGGAATTTCAAAACAGCCGGCAAATATGTTGCAATGGAGCAATATGTCAGAGCAAGCATGTAGTGATTATTTCTACCAGCAGATGGGCTGCATTGATTACTTGGTCACATGCCGCACATGAGCTATTATTATCAATAATCCAATTCTAATTATTAATTATTTCATGCTACTGAAATAACCACTGTGAATTCTTGATTTTGTCATCTGTAATGTGCAATAAACAAATTCATAAATGTTTTTCATCTTAACTTTTCATCTGTAGCCAGAATATGATGTGCTCTTTACCCACAAAAATCTTTCTATTAATCTTATTTAATAATCATGATTACAATATCAAGATAATAATCAACAATATTTTATGATATTGCCCTATTCTGTAATTAGTTTATTATTATTATTATTATTATTATTTATAGGCTGTTTACATAATGCAATTGTTGTGTAAATCATATACAGTATGCCAGCCTTGAGCAGCATTAAACTAACATAAATGTCATGTCAGATGCAGCTTCTGTTTCACTTTTGCAGTGTAAAGATCGCTTGTTTTGATGTTGAAAAAAAATGGATTTGTAGCAGTCTATAGTATTCTGATTGATTTAGGTAACTTGTTCAATTTAAGTACTTGGCATAAAAACCCACAAGATACATTTAACAAGGTAATTATAATTGATCATACTCTTTGAAGTATGCTATAAATTAGATTGTTTTGGACAAGGCACAAAGGCTAGAGCTGGCGATCATGAATTGATGGATCAGCAGCTGGGGTGCCCATGAGCTCCACCAGAGCGCACTCCTCACTACTCCTCTGCAATTCCATCAGGAACCACATTTCCCAAAAATCTTTGCCTGGACTCATTGTTGTGTGATCACTTCCACCTGTGTGCCATTAGCTTATTAGCTTGTTAAGGTCTGTGTATATAAGTGCTGCGTTCCACTCCATGTTTAGACACACACTAGCAAACTTCTCTAATCACTTCCCCTTGAGGAAGTCCCCGCTGCCATTTTGAAGTGTGTTCCACTTTGTAAAGTGGATGAGTGAAGTTTATATGGAAAAACACTCGACCCCTCGATATTGACCGAGGGAGTGAGTCTGCTTCATATGCACACTTCAGGCCGCTCTATAGACCACAATGCAACACGACTATGACGTCATCGCAGATCACGTTTAATTTATTCCCACCCCAAACAACTCTATAATATATATATATATATATATATATATGATTATTTTGTTATTTTTTTATTTTTTA